ATATATAATGTGATCTTTTGGACGTTACTTTCGTAAAATGTGCGATTTACCATTCATGGTCTCCAGATGAGTGATTCTTACCATGCAAGTTAAATCATAGCGACCTAGCACTCTCAGCCACTTTCAATATCACTACCATTATACGGTGATTGGTTTACTATGAGAGCTATTATCATACCTATAAGAAATATGTTGTGCTTGCATACCGAGCTCGAATACAGACCTAACTAGGACGAAACTTCATACTACCGATGTTGGCCTGAGATCCTATTAGGGAGCTGCAGTTCACCTGGTGACATCCTATCCTGAGAAATCCAACAATTATTGCTCACTTTGTCCTCATTGAATTTTCCGAAAATCTTTGCTAGTCCTGTGTCCCAAGTGGATTTTCCTGTAGCTATAGTATTGAAACCAATTATCATTATGAAAATATTAACATCTACGAAGGAGTGTCCTGTAAACGTACAGGTGCACCTTATCCCTGGTTGTTTCGTATCTTTCCCGTACTTGAAGTTGCGCAAACACGTTGCAGTGTTTATAGGCCCTTGGGAGCCCGCGACATCGTGTGAAATTAGCCCCGGCCTATGAGTTGTGGGACAAAAAACTTAAGAAGGTGAACGCTGCTCCACCATGTAATGACTGTTACGAAACGTCTTAATATATATTCCTAAAAGTACAGATTTACCGTTCTGGCTCATTACAAAACAGAAACATTTGAACACTGGCGTAGAAAAAGGGTAGCGTATATGTGATTCTGTGCAGAGCTCTGTGACACCTAACGACTAGGTTCAATGCTAGAGGACGATTTTTAAGTCTCCTTCTATGTTTCGAATTTCGCGTCCGGTATCGTCTTTAGGCATAGTTCCACCAGACAGAGGATTTCTAAGTGTAGATCGACTCAAACGTTCTTTCATGCAGTTTTATTGTCCGCGCTAATTTCTATTTGTTTCGATTTCTGTTCATTGCTCGTTACCCTTCAGGCCTTTTGCTGGTTGACAATTCGACAATGTTTCTGCCTAATAAATTGAATCATTCCACCCCGCCTTTGTTTACTCTATTCTTAGGGCATATTCTTTACTATATGACCATATGTCGATACTCAGTAGTGATCATCAGCAGCCATTTTCACAGTCGATTTTCCTTGTTATCTATTTTAAGTGGTTGGCCTATTCAAAAAGCGCGCAGGGAAACAGGCAACAGTTATTTGAATTTTTCGTTGATTCGGCCGTGTGTTCATCCTTAAGATAATTACACATGCGTTGAGTGACCATTCCGTTATCGTACGGTGCGCTGTAGCGGCGTTGATCACAGACGTAGTAGGCAACCGAATTCTGCCTTCAGGTCGTTCTAATAGCATTACCGCTAATCTGGGCGCAAGTGCCTTCAATGAAATAGAAGAAGCTACTGCAGTTGGTACATTTTTTCGACCCAGCCTTTGATCCTTTTGGCTTACTACGAAGAGTGCTAGCTGCCATTCGTACACATTTCGATTGATGATACACAGATAGTCCCTAACGGAACTACGTGCAAAAAAAATTTG